ACCCTAACTTTAAGTTCCCTGTGATTTAGTGTTTTTCCTGTTTTCCTACTTTACCGGACGAATGTCTAAACTGCGAACAGTCTCTTTGTGTGTTCAAAGTGCTAGACTACTCTCTTGACATCGAAACATTTATTATATCAATTAGGCGGAGTGGCGGACCACCCAGTACGCTAATTTAGTGCTAAAATATTATGCTCTTGAAAATTTGAACCGAATAAGCGGCTGGCCCAATTAACCGGTTGTCTGATTAACCTGAATCTCAATATTTAGGAGAAATGGGGAGACACTGTCTGGCCCGGCAGCTGTTGAACATCGAAAATGCTTAAGGTTTTTCACCAGTTGCCACAGACACAGGAGAAAAGACACTTGGTAATAGGGAAATGTCGTTGGATAGAGGATCGAAAGCAACGGGATTGTGCATAAAATTTACATTTTGACAGTCTAACCCAGTATCGAAATGTGCCAGTGCCTTGCGTTGGTCACTAAGATGCTTAGGACTCCTCCGAAGTTCAGCCCAGAATAGAGGAAACGAAGATGCGGAAGAAATAAAATGCCGACTAACAAATCAATCAGCTTGAGTACCTTTCACGTTGTAAGGACGTTAACGTCCTTTAGTCTGTTAAGTAGACCTAGTTTGTAAAGGAGTTCTTTTTGCGTCCTAAACATTTTAGATAGAGAGAAGAATACCGTCAAGTCTAACCAGTACGGCATCAAGGGGAAAATAGATATTACAGCTTTCATTTAAAAGATTGCAAAGTATATAGAACACGATTCGACGTTCGAGGAAGGCAGAAATATTGTCAGAGATACAAGTCTGAAGCAAGCAAATATTATGTGGAAACTTTTCGCGCACCTTAAGGTCCCCCTCAGGTTTCGTTAACAAGTACTATCCTGCAATCTGAGATTAAGAGTTCAACATATTCTGCCAGCCTAAAATATGAACATCTGTTCAAAGTTAGTCAGATCAATAAGCATTACTTTATTAGCAATTTTAGTTTGGCTAACAATAATAACTGAACACCTTTGCATTCAAAACCAACGTTCTACCGTCTATGAACTAATTTGGAATTGTAGTCTAGATTGATCATTGCTTGAACTTCATTTAAAG